AATTCCAGTCTAAACCAAATGGGACATCAATTTGTGGGGCTAAGTAGTTGTCCATACCCCAACATGACATGGGGCATAATGGCCTTAACATTAAGGCATTACAAACATTCTACAACTTACCATAATCTAAATCTTATGATCCATCAATCGCCGCTTTTGTGGTTCTTATTTGGTGATGGAATATTGGCGGACGAATCATGAGTAGCTTATGTAACAACAAAATATGATGATAGCTATATTTTCTATTGTGACCCACGTAAATTTATCCATATGAAAGATGAGTTCGAATCTCTTTTTTTCTGGTGCCGGATAATTACACAAAGTGGTACCACCGGTCCACCCTAGCCTTGGCAAGATGATAGCTAGGCTGTGCATTTCGAGTGTTATCCGATAAGATCTTACCAGTAATGAGAGCTAACCCTGAAGATATATGGGCTACAAGGAAAGATACTCGAAACACAAAAAGTTTCAAGCCTTTCACAAACATAACTTGACATTAGTCTCTGTAACCAAACCATCTAACCAGATACGTATTATATATATTGGATAATTCATTTACATGTTTAACTTGCTTATATCCGGTGAGGATTTGAATTGTAAATTTTTATGGATCTAAATTATCCGCACTTGACACCAAATTATCAGTAACCGATCTTTAATCCTTATTACATGATTTTATATATACAAAAATGGCCAGACTTAGTGATAGTCACTGGTAGCTAAAATATCTTTAGGATTTAACCAAACAAAAATAACCGAATGACCTGCTCGGTCGGACGGACCAGTGAAAACTCGACCTGACCTTGTGAATCGGACCGGTGGACCAAAAGTCCAAAATCAGGACCACACTAGGGGAGTATACGTACTTGAACTAACGTCTTTTGGCTTTACGTCATGATGAGTGGACCAATCTAGGTGGTGGATGAATTTACATCCTCGTGAGCTCTCTATTCTGTAATTGCAAGGACAATCATTCTTCATGTTTTGCAGTTTTTGTAACTCTGACAAACTATAAGGTTATATGAATAAACCAAAATTAATAAATACCATTCACGTATAAAGAAATACCTCCCCATGTTGAATTCAGCTTTGTACGCCAGTGTTCAGAAAGAAAGTAAATATCTGGTATTCACATTCACTCGAAAGTACAATACCCGTTAGGGAAAGTATATTTTTTGAATCTACTTTGTAAACGTTTCATCAATATAGATGAAAATTAAGGATCCTAATAACTGCATTTAGTAAATAACAAGTACAGTGACTTTGTTTTGTCATGTGGATGTGGTGATTGGTGAACACATAGTCAACATTCAGAATCTTGGTAGCTGGATTACGATTCTTGAAAATGAGATAAATCAGAAAATTGATGGTAAACTCATAATTAATGAAATTTGCAAATTACATAAGTACCCTTTTAATAAACGTAACTAAGACATTTGTGTATATATGTTACAAAATATGCCAACATATCCATTTGCTCGAAACATTTATTCTCTCTCTCTCTTAAAAATGCCAAAAATCTTGTGGAAAAGCCTACATCTTTGCTTCCCGTCGAATCTCACCAAATGCTATTCTTCGCAGTGTATTCCTCCGTCCTCCGCCGATCAAGACTTTACCGACCAACCTAGCCGTCCCTCTATCGTTCTCCTCAATAACTTCAACCTCCTCTACCACCATGACAACAACCAACACCACCGTGTCACTGACTTACCTTCCTCCTCTGCCACCACCACTCCGGCAGCCACCTCCTC